GCGCGTTTTTTACGTCACCGCGCGTTCTGGCTGGAAACGCGCGGTGACGTAAAAAACGCGCGCTCGCGTACAATACAGGTTGGAACCGCGCGTTATTGTACGGACGATTATTGGCCCATTCGGCTTGCCATAGTCGCGGCTTGATATAACACAGGGTCCTTCGATACAGCCTTTAAAATGGAACAGAGTCATTGCAGAGAGGCTGCAGGGGAATGTGTTGAGTCCAGCTGGAAGCAGAGTTTATCAGGCAGCAGTTAACTCCTGCTGGACAAATAATCCCTGAGATTAAAGGAAGATTAGCTGAGATGAAGGAGGAGAAGATGGACGATCAACACAGACTGCTGGATTTCACCAGGACCCCCCAGATCATCCTACAGCGGACAGGTAGGAACCACCTGATGCTCCCTCAGCAGCTGCTAATAACGCATAGCTGGCTGTGTAGATGCCTGATAAAAACATATTCTTAATCTAAGAAATATATTTCCGTTTTCTTTTTGTTGTTAACAAGTGTAGAGAAAAATACAAAAATCTGTCTCACATGGAGTCATTTCTCCTGCTGATCCAGAAGCTATAAATCAGAACCTGCAGGATGGAGGAGAAAGTACACCCATTATGTCAATTCCTGAATGTAAATATATATCCATTAAAGAGGCCAATCATTCAGAACCAAACACATCACAGATTCTCCTCCTTCCTTCCAACTATTCTCACTTTATTATTCTAATTCTGACTAAAACTTATTTTCTTGTTATGAGCTTGCTCTCACTTTTCCTTCATTTTCTTGTTTGGACAAAAGTATCTACAAAGGTGGTTTTTTTTAGTGTTTTTTTTGTTTTGTTTTTTTAGAGACACCATAACTCTGTCCTGTATGATGAACTGTATCTGGTCACACATGTTTAAGGAAAGAAAAGTCTTTATTTTTATTTCTATAGTGTTCAGTCTGGATGTAATTTCCAGTTCTGACACCATAATGACCTGCTCATTTCCAGCAACTATCACTCCAGTGTTCTAATGATACAATGTGTTTGCTCATTGGCTCAGAAGGCTAA